CTTACCACCCCCCCACCAAACCACAACCCACCAAAACCACCACCTAACACACCACCAAAACCACCACCCTAACACTCTTCCACAACCACCACGCTAACACTACCACCACAACCACCACCCTAACACTACTACAAACAACCACCACCCTAACACTACTACCACACCCTACTCTAACACTACTACCACAACCACCACCCAGCACTACTACACAACCACCACCCTAACACTACTACCACAACCACCACCCTAACACTACTACCACAACCAGCACCCTAACACCACTACCACAACCACCACCCAAACACTACTACCACAACCACCACCCCTAACACTACTACCACAACCACCACCCTAACACTACCCACCACAACCACCAAACCCTCACACTACCCCCCAAACCACCACCCTAAATACACCACAAACTACCACCCTAACACAACCACCACCATTACACAACCACCACAACCACTACCCTAACACTACCACCACCCTAACACAACCACCACCCTAACCCCAACCACCACAACCACTACCCTAACACAACCAACCGCAACCACCACCCTAACACTACCACCACCCTAACACTACTACCACAACCACCACCCTAACTCTACCACCAACAAAAACCACCCTAATACTACCATCACAACCACCACCCTAACACTACCACCACAACCACCACCCTAACACTACCACCACAACCACCACCCAACACTACTAACACAACCACCACCCTAACACTACCACCACAACCATCACCCTAACACTACCACCACAACCACCACCCTAACACTCACCACCACAACCACCACGATAACACTACCACCACAAACCACCACCATAACACTTCCACCACAACCACCACCCTAACACAACCACCTCCCTAACTACCACCAACAACCACCACCCTAATACTACCACCACAACCACCACCCTAACACAACCACCACCCTAACAGTACCACCACAACCACCACGATAACACTACCACTACAACCACCACCCTAAAACTACTACCACAACCACCACCCTAACAGTACTACCACAACCACCACCATAACACTACCACCACAACTTCCACCATAACACTTCCCACCACAACCACCACCCTAATACTACCACAACAACCACCACCCTAACACTACTACCACAACCACCACCCTAACATTGCCTCCGCAACCATCACCCTAACACTACCACTACAACCACCACCCTAACTCTACCACCACAACCACCACGATAACACTACCACCACAACGACCACCCTAACACTACCACCACAACCACCACCCTAACACTACCACGACAAACCACCACCCAAACACTACCACGACAACCACCACCCTAACACTACCACGACACGAACACTATCACCACACTACCACATCTACCACCAACACTTCCACAAGTAACCACCACCACCACCACCACTTTCACCACAACTACCACCACCAGACCACCACCACCACCACTTTCACCACAACTACCTCCACCAGTACCATCACCGCGATGCCTTACCACCACCAGTACTATCATTGCGATGCCTACCACCACCACCACCACTACCACCACCGGCCACCACTATCACCACCACAACCACTATCACCACCACTACCACCACCGCCACCACTATCACCACCACTACCACCACTACCACTGCCGCCACAACTACCACCACCACCACCTTCCACGACCACCACTTCCACCACAACTACCAACAACCACCACTACCTCCCCATCTACCACCGCAACTACCACCACCACTACTACCACCCGCTACCACCACAACTACCACCGCCACTACCTCTCCCACTACTACCGCCACTACCACCACAACTACCACCATCACTACCACAACTACCACCACCACCCCTGCTACCACCACCACTACTACCACCACAACTACCACCACCACTACCTCTCCCACTACCACCACCACTACCACCACAACTACCACCACCACCACTAGCATCACTAACCACCACCACCACCACAACTACCACCATTACCACAAATAACACCACCACTGCCACCACCACTGCCACCACCACCACCACCACAACTACCGCCACCACCACCACCACAACTACCACCACCACCACCACTGCCACCACAACTACCACTACCACCACCACCACCCTCACTACAACCACAACTACCACCACCACTACCACCACAACCACCACCACAACCACCACCACCACTACCACACCACCACTACCACCACCACTACTACGTCCTCCCACTACCACCACAACTACCACCACCACTACCACCACCACCACGACTACTACCGCCACTACTACCACCACCACTACCACCACAACACCACCATCCCACTACAACTACCACCATCACCACAACATCTCCACCACCACTACCACACCACAACTACCACCGCCACCACAACTACCACCACCACCACAACTACCACCACCACCACAACTACCACCACCACTACCGTGGTACCACACCTTCCACCACCACCACACCTACTAGCACCACCACCACCACAACTATCACCACCACAACTACCACCACCACTACAACTAACCACCAGCACAACTACTACCACCACAACTACCACCACCACTACTCCCACCACCATCACTACCACCACCCACCACAACTACCAACACACCCACTACCACCACCACCTCCACTACCACAACTTCCACCACCACCACAACTACCACAACCACCGCCACTACCACAACTTCCACCACAACTACCACAACCACCACCACTACGACCACCACAACCACCACCACTACCATCACCACAACTACCACCACCACAATTACCACCACCGCTACCATCACCACAACTACCACCACCACTACCATCACCACAACTAACCATCACCACAACCACCACAACAACTACCACCACTACAACTACCACAATCACAGCTACCACCACCACAACTACCACCACCACAACTACCACCACCGCCGCTACCATCACCACAACTACGACCACCAGAACTACCACCACCGCTACCATCACCACAACTACCACTACACTACCATCACCATAACTACCATCACCACCACTACAACAACTACCACCACCACAACTACCATAACAACTACCACCACCATAACAACTACCACCACCACCACAACAACTACCACCACCACAACTACCACCCCACTACCATCACTACAACACCACCACCACAGCTACCACCACAACAACAACCACCACCACCACTACCATCACCACAACAACTACCACCACCACAACTACCACCACCACCTCCAACACCACTGCTA